CCTGGAAACATTCCAGGCGAGGTTGGACGGGGCGCTGAGCAACCTGATCTAGTTGAAGATGCCCTGCCCATGGCAGGGGGGTTGGACTAGATGACCTTTAGAGGTCCCTTCCAACCCAAACCATGATTCTATGACCAAACCATTCTATGATTCTATGATATTTACACTGTCAAATAAATAACTTATGAACCTCATAAAGATACTTAGCCTATCGCTCAACACAAAGAGTTGTCATTTTTATGTCCTCTGTATCTGTGAAGAACGTCTTTCTGGAACTACAGTGAGCAAATATTGCAATGACAGTTACCTTCTTTTGTACTTTTGATCAAGTCAGGGTTTCTTCGAAAAAGAGCTGAGGTCATGAATATGTTATTCTTTACTACAGAACAAGGAATTTAAACTTTAATAATGAGCAATAACAAATTTTAATTATTAATTCATGTTTCTGTAACCCCTCCCTGTTTTGGTAGTACCTGAGCAATATTCCAACCTACCCATCAAAACAAGATCTCTGAGATAACTGTTACTGTCTCCATTTTACAGGTGGGTAGACTTAGGCCCAGAAAGCACCATGGGTTTTCTGGCTGTGTCAGAGACAGAAGTCTTTTGGATATTAACAGATGTTTTAAACTCATAAAATCCTTCTTCATCTTTGAAAACCAGGTGCTGCTGGTTTGCAAAAACTATTGAAATGGCAATGCCATCTGATCCAGTCTTAGACATTTTTAAGATGAGTAAATGAGGCTCAAGAACATGGGAATACGTGAATGTGCCCTGCCCTGTTCTGGTAAAAAGGCTTTCATAACGTACTGGTTATGAAAGTAAACGTTTCATGATGGCAGTGCACTGCTGATGCTTTCACTGTTTTAATAAAGATACCAAACACCAGTCAGAAAGTAATAGCAACCATGTACCACGTACTGTAAAATGACACAACTGATACTCTACACACAACCACTACTTTTTCATTGCAGAAAGAGTGTGGTTTGTTGCTATAACAATGTTGTGGCCTCTTAAGATTGTTTAGAAATCCTTTATGCCAAGGTCTGTCAAGGAGCTGTCTCTGGTAAGAGACATAGACTAAGATTTAAGACCACTCTATCGTTCCCATTGGTGGTAAGTGGGAGAATGCTCCCAGGGTCACTGGTTAGGTGGAAGACAGGCTCCTAGGATAGAGAATGATATTCCTAGAGGAACCATCACCATTAAACTGCAAGCAAACTAATTCATGTAATTACTTTAACTCCATTCTGTTTTTTCAAGTATAATTCGTACCACACTGTGTAAATGCCTATTTGCAAATTATTCAAAGATTCCTCCCCAGCACTGCATGCTTCCCTAACAACAAATGCAAAAACATTTCTTCTATTGAACTGCCAGTCCTCCTCCTAAAACATCCCTTTCTCCTGTCCAAATACCAGCCTAGTCCAATGCACTCCAGCTTTGTCCTGCAGAAAGAGCATTTCTATACACCTCTTTATTTTAGCTAATACCTGCTTTTCTACATAAATATTTATTGGTTTTGTTGCTTTCTTTTTTTTTTTTTTTTTTAAATTACT